CGTTCGCCGCATCGCTTCGATTTTGTTTCGACGATTCTAGGGTTTTCGGTGTGAAATCTGACCTGTGACGTTTGTGTGTGTATGCAGGCATCGAGTGCCAGGCGAACCAGGCCAGCGCCACCAGCGAGGAGTGCACCGTGGCTTGGGGTATGATACAGATCTTCTTCCCTTGCTTCCCCTGTTTCCTGCCGTATAATCTTGCAATTGTCGTAGTTGTCATTGTTAATGTAAGGGTTATTTGAGTATTAACAGCTGCTCAATCTGGTATTGGTCATGATGTGAATATTGGTGTGTTCTTAGAAGTCTTAACAAGTTTCTTTGTCTGTCGTGGCTTTATTAGCGGTTTCATAGGTTTAACTATTGGAGAATTTTGTATCCTATTTGCTGATGCCTGACGATAGTTTTTTGGTTGTCACTCTGTTACAATGTAATATATAGTTGGTTGATTTGTGTTGCTGTGCTACTAATTATTTACTCAATATTGTTTGTCTGATGTGAGCCTTGTTAAGTTATACTACAACCTATATGGCATTGGGAGTACTTGGGTTTACATGGTTTCCATGCAAGGGAATTTACTTATTTGGCACTGCCGCTTGAAGCTGTGTATGTGTTATGTACATGCAATGATGGTTCCCCTTATCTGGCTGGGCTGAAGTTACATCTGATGCTTATTTATCAACTTGTTAATCTGCACTGTTTATAACAAAAAATAGATTGTGCTGTGGAGGATTAATTGCTTGATAATGATTTGCCAGTCGTAACGCCATGCTCAGCAGCCCGGTGCTTATCTAACATCACTTCCATATTGTTGTTTTACTCGTTGGATTGTGGTATTGGGATGTGGGGGACTATCCTGGCGTATGTAGTCTAGTGACTAGCCTCATAGTAAACCAGCATCCATTTGTTATTTAGAAGTCTTCAATTGGAGACTGACAGTGACTTGAATTTACTTGGAGGTGGACAATGAAGTTTATTCATTTGTTCTTCACTTCTTTGTAGGCTGAAATCTTAATTTAGGAAAGTGACACAATATTCAGTAGCACCTGTTGATTGCAAAAGGAAGGTACTGCTGTGCGCTTAACAAGATAGGCAAATGACTTCCCTTTGTAATTAACCATTTATAATTGTTCACATCTAGTTATGTCCAAAGTAGAAAAAACTCTAGGCGTTAACTGTGTGTTTTGCCACCGACTTGCGCTGTTCTGACCAAAGCACACACTTATGTGCAATTATGTGCACATTAGGATTTAGGCCTTTTGCCTTCGCACTCCTAGGCATGCCTTTAACTATGGTTACGCCTTGAAGTAATAACATGGTATTTGGTTTGAACTTGAAAGGACTAGAGGTTAGAATGTGGATTGATGGCTTGGACTTCAGTCTCCATATTTTAAATTGCCAGTTGAGTTTTTATTTTTGCGAACAATGTCAATACCTGAGTCAGGTGTTATACGAAATTGATCTGAGGTAATTTCTTGTGTTATCATGTTTAGGACTGCATTGCGTATTAGGGATCTGTATTTAGATCAGAAGCTGTCATTGTTGATAAGTAGTTTCTTGATCTTTCCATGTGTGGACTGTTTGTTTCTGTGCTATAATACCAAGCCTGCATTTTGACCACATCAGCTTCTTACTCATTTAGACAAACATTATGTGCAATTATCCCTTTAGTGAATTTTCTCTCCTCGAATATTATCATAGTCGTTATTTTCTAGTGATTCCGTGGACATTGCATTGTTGTTTACATCTCATGTTGCAGAGGATTGCATCTGACTATGTGGTTAAGTGTTTGCTATTAACCGAGTTAAGTTAATGGCCTGTTTGTATTTTCTCAGGAGTTTGCAACCATGCATTCCACTTCCACTGCATCAGCCGTTGGCTCAAGACCCGTCAAGTGTGCCCTCTAGGTTTGTTTCCCTATCGATTTTCCCCAGCATCACTGTTGCTTGCTACTTTTCAGTATCCTGAAGTTCTATTTTGCATTGCAGACAACAGCGAGTGGGAGTTCCAGAAGTATGGTCACTAAGACAGTTATGGCCAGGGGCGAAGTTGCTTCATGGTTGTCGTACTTTAGTGCTATTAGTGATAACTCCTGGTTAAGAATAGTGGATGGGTGGTTGATGTTTCTGGAGCTTGGATTTTTGTTAAACCACATGCATCCTTGTGGAGTACTGTTCAGCAAATCGTCCCTGAGAGCTACCGATGGATCTCTCTGTTTTTCTGGAATTGAAGTGTGAATTTGGTGGGTACTCAGTTTGTGTCTGCATGTGAAATTTTACTACCTTACGTTGTCGTGCTTATTTTCAGTGACATTTGGCTTTTCTCCTGATAATTTGTCTCGGCTTACAAAATAGATCGTTTTTAACATATACTCCCTCTGTAAAGAAATCCCCCTGTAAACAATCTTATATTTCTTCATAGAGGGAGTGCAACGTAGAAGCAGTCTCTTAAAATGGCACGCAAAGTTGCCGGTCAAAATTTATGGTTTAACAAAAATTTGAGGAGCAACAACAATTCACGGTCGTCTTTGGTCGCTTCGAACACGGACTTGGAGGACGACCATGATTGTATCTGTGTATGTAGTTTTTTTTTTAATATGCAAAGCTTGGGTATCTTTTCATTGATATAAGAGTTAGGATGAGTACAAGGGAGGGTACATCACACAATACAAACGCTAGCCGGCGTGAGCATTGTTCTTGAAGCAGAGAGACATGGGATGCTTGGTTCAAACAAAGGATACAACACAACTAAGCTTGCCTTGCCAGGACTCCAGCCATGGATTGTGAAGAGATGAGACACATGGTACCGGTCCTCGCCACGAACACCAGGAGCCACCTTCTTCACGCGGCCATGACTCCATACCCGACTGGCAAGAAGGGAAACCGACGCCATCGTCGTCTGATCCGATGGATTGAATCAAGGGTTTTCCCGATGCTCAAAAAGGAGCATGGACAAAGGCCATGGCAGCATCTCCAAGAAGGGGAGGACACCGCTGCCAGCATTGGCGAGCCGGGCAGGGATTTCTCTCGTCTCTGTCCAAGCAATCCTAAAGATGCCGAACCAGGATCCAGAGACGAGGAAGTCAGGTCGCTGGCTGGAACCGCCATTGCAGGAAGAGGAGTTGTGCCCGCCGCCGAAGAAGAAGGTGGCACTGGACGCTACTGGACATGTGAGCTTTCAATCTGGCGGGAGAAGGACGAGGCATGTGAAGGATGGGGTTGGAGAGACTACAGAGCGGGGAGAGCCGATGTAGGGGACGAGATGATGATTGACGATGCCGGTGAGCCAGACTCTGGAGGGAAACGCAAATCCGGAGCCGCCGGGAAGTTGAAAGAGAATTTAGCTTCCGAAGAACACGGGCATGAACCACATAGACAAAGACGTTGCCGAGCCATGGACGCTAGAGAAGACACAGATTCGGGCCCGACGAGGCCGAAGGCGCACCGGCAAGGGGATTTCCATGGAAACTCGCGTGCTCGTTGACAGCCAGGCCGGCGCACCACCAGAGGTAGCCGCTGCCAGGAACCAAACCGCTAGGACCTCACCATGGTCGCCACCTTGGAGTCATCACCGCGGCTTGGAGAAGGGGCGTGCAACATCGTCTATGGCTCGAGCCCCCGCCACCTTCCTTGGAGCCAGCACGACTACGTCAACGGGGACTCCAGTGGCGGCGAAGCAAGGGGAGGACGATAGGGTGCCTCCTGACGGCGGCAACTTTCTTCCCTGAGCCGCCCTTGGGGGCGACGCAGGGGTCGGGGACCTGGGAGGTAGAAGGCGAAGGGAGCTTGGGGAGTGCAAAGGAGGTGGCTGGCTGACGACGTCGTTGGGTGTGGACTAGCCGGCGATGGCGTTGGTGTGGTAACTACGGGAAGCCAAAGGGGAAAACCTAACTCCTCGATAGCTAGCGATGTTGAATAGTGGCATTGCATATTTTGAACATGTCGCTTAACGACATTGAAGTCGCAAAATATATGTGATGCGATGACTTTTGGCCACTAACATAGTTGTTTACCGTGTTTGATGACAATTATGTAGTGTTTGGTTGGATTAAAAATCTCTTAAACTGCAACTAAAATTTTGAGAAAAAAGCCAAATAAAAGAAAATCTATGAAGGATGCGTTTGTCGAATGTGTTTGCTCCCAGGCCCAGCAGCCTCCAAATCATTATGGAGTGTGCTTCATATGACAGACGTCAATTCAAATTATGTCGATTCTGCTAGAGTTGCTCTAACACGTAATTGTTCAATAGTTGTTGTAGTAGGACCACGCGAAACACCTGTTCAACGGCCATGGTTTATGCTATAGACACTGAGCAAGTAATAACAGGTGGAGTGGTGTTTGTGTGCTCGAGCTCCATGTAGCCTTTGTTCTAAAATTTTCAAAAATCATATCAGTGTTTCAAAAAATTATATATAGTACATGTGTGTAAAATTTCATGAGAAACATTAACACACGAGCTATACAGGGCAAAAATTATTGATTTGTCATTTTTGCATAGCTCTTGTTAATCATGCAATATCCATCCATATGACAATGTGAAAAAAATTAGAATTTTTAAGAACTTTGGAATATGAATTTTGATTCTTTATGCGGAAAAGATGGAACTCACTGGCGCCCGAGCACTAAAAGGCATTCGTGGTGGTAAACTGGTAATAGCCTTTGCAACTTTAGAACAATCAATCAGATCATTTTTGTGTCATCTAGGAGTAAACAGTAGGGTTATAACTGTTCATTATTTGTTGTAGTGTATGTAACTAGTAGAAGGACTAGGCAAAACACACCTGTTCAACGAGCACAGTTAATTGCTCTAGACACCGAGCAAGTAATAACAAGTGAAAATAGCTTTTGCAACTTTACAACAATCAATCAGATCATTTGTGTGTCTCGATCCTCAAACGCTACTACTATTCCCATGTACCCCTCACCAAATTTGAATAAACCAATTGATACACAAATTCTTAGCGTCATAGCATTCCTTTTTCTCTTTCAAAAGCTGTAGTTCACTCACGCTGCAACTGTAGTCCTCTTCCCGATGGTGTATGGGTTGGTCTCGAGAAGATTTTCCAGGGATTTTGCCTTCCTGCTTCTCCCCCGGCCAGCCTCCTTCAGCAACTCGGCAAGCCTCCGCTTCTCGTCGTCAACGTCTGGGTTCGCCGTACCTAGCTTCTCTTCGCGCATTTCAACAACGTATTCCAAGATCTCAATGGCCTCATCCAGTCTGGTAACACAAAAGAACAGAAGTATCATCAACTGGACATATTCAGAGAGGGAGATGCAGTTTTCAATCTCTTAATCTCAGATTTGCTTTCAGACGTAGCTGAGATAGCATGTTGCTTCAGAAACCTGATCTGGCCAGCTAGACCAGAGTACAACTGGCAACTCTTAGTTCAGAGCTAGCATCATGATTAGGAAGAATATTACAGAAAAGCTGGCAGACACACAGGTCTAACAAAGCAGCATGAAGTTTCCACACGGACAGAAAGATGCAAATGGAGAAGATAAAGCAAGAGGATAAGCATTGGTGATCTTTCTTTTACTCAACAGCCAACGACAAGCAACTAAAGATGGTTTTATTATGGTCCTACTTCAATTAAGTAGGCCCAACTTTATCGCAATCAGCATCTGCCCAATTCAATTTGGGCTGCATAAAGCTGCATAAAGAGACTAATCATGTGCCAAGCTGGAAGATGCTAAACAATAACAAAGGCTCGACAGTTGCCATTTATAAGAACACTTTATGGCTTTACTCATATCCTGTACTATATCCAGGACATCTGAGGGCTAACATGGAACAGGTAATCAGCGGCCTAGTTGAGACTTGAGAGCAACCAAATGGATCACCATATTAACTTAGCGATAAATCCCTCACAAAAAAAAACTTAGCGATAAATCATGGACCATAAGAAAGTCGAGGTGCGCAAGGAAGCACTCCACTTTCATTAAAATTTCACATGTAGGTTATGCAGGGCTTAGAAGGATGACAATAATGAGAAGTCAAACAAACATATTAGCAAGATGGAAATTAACAGTTAGTTGGTCAAAGAAACATGTATGGTCTATTTTGAAGTATTGAAGAAACAACTTGACAAGGGAATCAATACGGAGCTTACCTTCCCATTGCATCATAAGTTCCAGCAAGATTGCTGTATACTCCTAGAGTATCTGCATGATATGGCCCGTATTCTTGCTCCAGAACGGTTCTAGCTTCCTCGAAGAGTTCTGCAGCTTCATTTATGGAGTATCTTTGAACACACGCCAGCCCCATCTGGTTCAGGGCAATACCGAAGAAGGCGGACTTTTTCTCACCACATGTGCGGAGCTTTGTAATCGCACTCTTGAAGGAGTCATATGCATCGCCATAATTCCCAGAGATGTAGTGCAAGACACCAATCTGAGCTTCAATTCCAGCAATTGTGCTCTGTTGGCCAGCAGAATTATTGTACATCTTCAAGGCCTTCTGGAGTAACTTCAGTGCTTGGTCATGCTCATTCATGGTCTCATATATGGCTGAAACATCAGTCAAACCAGTGGCAATTTCTTCAAGAGACGTGCCTGGAATAGGTTTCTGATAAATTTTGAGAGCATTCTCACAGTATGATTTTGATTCCCTCAGCTTCCCTGTTTTGTTGTATAAATCAGCAAGCCGCAGGAAAACAGAAGCCACGGTGGCATGATTCTCCCCTTTGCTAGTCTTGAATACCGTAAGAGCTTTCTGATAAGCACATACAGCCTCATCATATCGACCCAATGAGAGATAAATGTCACCAATACTGCAATCCACTGAGGCCACCTCAGTCTCCTGGCCATTGGCGACCATGGCCATGCTCGCCATCACTAGATGTTCTAACGCAGCTTCATGGTCACCCTTTGTGTCACAAATAAGACCCATTAGCCTCCTATCAGCCGTTTCTTCAAGTGATGCTGGCTGGCCATTATCCCTGTGAATGTCAAGAGCCATCTGGCACAATTTTTGTGCTTCATCTAATTGTAGTGCCTGCACATGAGCCTCAGCCAAGTACCGGCAAGTCTCTCCAACCCTTGGATCCTGCTCCCCCAATGTCTGCTTCTGGATTTCAAGCCCTTTGGCATACCATTGCAGTGAGAGGGCAATCTGACCTAGCATCCCATAGGTGTCCCCCAATTGCATGCAGCCAGAAAACTTGGCAAGAGCGTGCTCCTGACCTTCCTCGGTCACAGGAATCTCGAGGGATCGTTGTAGGACAGGTACAGCTTCTTCGTACTTTCCCATGTTGCAGTGGATTGCAGCCACAACATGCAAACTCATGACCAAGTTCAAGCTTGGCTTTCCACCTGCACATTTCTCAAATGATTTGGTCGCACGGAGAGCATATTTCAGCGCTCGTCGCGGATTATCAGAGGCAATCAAGTCTCTTGCATGCTTAAGAAGAAATGGACCAAGGTCTGGGTTATCAAGACCAGCATCTTCTGTCCCATTCTGTGATTTGGCACTAGCTTTCCGTCGACGGCCAACTCGGCTTCCGGGCTTGCTGACCTCACTCTCGCCTTCCTCGGGGGATGCCTTGCCATTGGGGCCAACAGAAGCATCAGATTCAAGCTGTGATTTTGTAGCCTTCTTCTTGGATGAATTAGAAGACTGAGGCCTGACAGGGGTACCATTCCCAGCAGTAGGTACCGCATTGGTAACACTTCCACTCCCCTTCTCCTTCTCCTTCTCCTCCTCCTCCTCAATGACCTTCATGGCCTCCATCTCCCCAGCAACAAGGTGGCGAAGCTCTGAGTCGATCCTTGATTCCTCTCCATCCGACCCGAAGCTCTCGCGTGATGGGGATCCGCCACCCTCACTTGAGCTCTCCATCTCACACACGTTGTTGTAGAGTTGCTCAATCGAGGGCTCCCCAGCACCAGAATTCTCAACGTGCATCTCAAGTGTCTCACTCTGCATGCTTGGCGCCATGGTTGGGGCCGTCAAATTCTCCTTGTTTTGAGAGGAACCCACCTCATGCTGAATCTCCTCTGTAACAACTCCATCCACTATGATTCCTGGCATCTTTGGGGACAATCAGGCGAAAGATTCTTCTCACCCTTCGCTCAGAAGAACAGAGCCCGATGAAATTGGAAAACTCTCCACAATACCTTGAAAGAAACAGAATACAATCAATTAAGGTAAAGCAAGATGTAATTGATGCAAAATCAAAACCATCACGGATCAATTATGAGAGCTCCAATTTCGGCTGACTCGGAAGCTGTTAATAAATGCCGGATTAACTGACTGAGTTAACCGCGGGGAGGGCCGGAGGGGCGGATCTAGAAAATTTGCGGATGCTGGTTTGGGTTTTGGGAATCGCCGGATGGCCACGAGCTCATACCTCAAAAAACAACGCCCGAGATCGCTGACGGGGTGGAGAGAGCAGGGACGCGACGTCGCGATGAGGCGCGGCGACGGCAGCGACGGCGGAGAGGCTGCGGGGGTGCGAGGCGTCGGCGGTGGCGCCGAGCTACCGCGCGGCGGCAGCTCTAGGTAGGGGAGCAGCGGTGGTGGAGTACAGGAGAGATTTTAGAGCTGCATTGGGTGGGATTGGAGCTTGGGTAGGTCAGAGCACCATGAAATAGGTGGGGAAGGAAGAGGAAAGGCACGGGATGGTGGAGAGCAAATGTCGCTGTGGGGAAGAGAAGATGGATTTTGACCGGGAATGGGGAGAGTAAAGATTTTATTTACAAAGCAGCCATTGTGATGAGGTCCATGGAGGATAGTTGATCTTGTACTTCCGTTCTACTAGTTGCAAAATCTGGAAGAAGAAAAATAGAGCGCGTAATTTATTTTAGTCACATTGTCTGGATTTATAGATTTCAAGAAATATGGAGCCATGCATTACGACACGATCTCCATACCATTCGATGCATCGCGCGGCTCATAGCACCGGGCGACCGCAAATTCTAGAATGGCATGTTGATATCTAAGGCGTCATGCGGGTCACGTGCATGCCTTTCATATTGTAGTAATTGCCTCTGGATTTTACATTGACATTCATAATCTCTTTATTTTACATGTTTTTTTTTTGTTACGCGTAGATAGAATTAGATATACGCCGAGAATTCAATTGGACGGATAGGTATTCTCTCGGATTAAACTTGTCACCATTTCTAGGATTGTCTTAAGCAAGTTGTATAGTCGAATGCAACAATGAATGCAGATGTCAGGGTCCTTCGCTTTCAAAAAAAAAGTTATTTCAGCGAGCTATGATCCTCGAATAGACCTAAAATGGAATGACAACCAATGGTATATCCATATTATTAGTGAAACCATTGTTGCTAGCTTTTCTGAGAGCACCTTGGACAAAAAAATTACGATGAACAGATTCGACAAGTGTTTGTCATTGTCGGCGCTCCATGCCACTAGTTAGAACTAGTATTTTTTTTAATGGACTAGTTAGAGCTTGTAAAGTAAGGACTATGTGTTAATTTGGGTTGCGGTCTGCTATTATGATGTGTCACCATTCTTCTCTTTATTGTCCCCTTGAGTCTAGCTAATGACCATTGCAACCTCTAACAAGCTCCTTCGTTGTCGCGTCATACCATTTCTTGTATAATCCCCTTGAGTCATACCATTTCTTAGGTAGATTAGACGTCTCATCTACCTATGAAAATATCCATGGACAAAATATCCATCACATTATAAGTTTAACCGTCATTTTCAGCTTGATTAAAAGAAGACAGGAACCAGAGCTACAAGGAAATGGCAAGAATCTGCCGGTCACCTCTGCTACTTATTTTTCTCCATTTCCTATCTTCGTAAAGAGCCGCGAACGTGTGTAGTAGTATCACTTAAAGGAATATAATTAATATGTGCACAGTTTTAAATATCTTTTGAGAAACCTTTCCCTTTTGAATTACACCTTGTGCTGTTTTTTTTTTGAAACCGAGTGTGCTGTGTATTTTGGCCACCTTATGATTGCAATGTGTCTTTGAGAGCTGCCGTTGCTGTGGCACTGGCAGCAGGAGGAAGGGTCGCTGGTCTTGTGCTGTTGCTTGGTAGTTAGCGGAAAGAAACGGGCGGTGACAGAGTGGAGGATCGGGTGGCAGGAAAGCGACGGGAGGGCGGAAACAAAACAATATACTCCCTCTGTTCGGAATTACTTGTCGCAGAAATGGATGGATCTAGACGTATTTTAGTTTTAGATACATCCATATTTTTTTGTTCATTGTTTCTGATATAGTTTACCACCCATGCCAAGTGGTAGATACATCCATATTCGAGACAAGTAATTCCGAACGGAGGGAGTACAACGGATTAGTCGTTCGCTTGCTTCAGGGGTTGGCCAGACTTGCTCGTCACCGGCCGGCCAGCAAGGTGGTGGTGGCGGCGGCGGCTTTATTTGGCCGGATGGATGGGTTCATCCGAGCAGACTCCGTCCATCCATCGGGAACTTGTTCGCTTGTTCGTGTAGTCTTCTTCTTGTAACTAATCTGCACCGCGTCCAAGTGGACAACCCGTCATTGATTGTGTGATCGCCTCGTGGTGGTTGGTCAATGCTTCGATCAAACCGTAGTATTGCGATTGCTAAGCTCCCTGCCACGGAGTCACCGACGAAAACGGAGATGGAAATATGCGGTGCTTTGTATTCGGTGTGGATGCTGCATTTGGAGCAGTTGTAGAGCGCCGCTGGCTCGTGACCAACGCAGATCGTCAAATCAAATGGAATAACACACCTGCTCTGCTGCTCGCCCGCCGGCCGGTGGCCTGGGTTATCCTGCCGTCGTTTTCATGCCGCCGGAAACGGGGTGCACACACGGTGCATCCAAGAGAGGAGAAGCGATGCGTTGCGTCTCCTGGAGCAATGTTTGGGTCATGCTGTCACACGACATTCTCGGCCGCGTTCTTTCAGAACCGGCGGCGTAGATAGCACTGCCAGCTCGAAACGGTGATGTATACAGGTGTCCGCGCGGTCAAAGCAGCGGAGGGCCGAGGGCGTCTCTGCCACCGATCGCCGTGCCCTGCGGGCACTTGTGGGACGCGCGTGTCCGTTGGCGCGTGGCCACCCGTGCCCGTGCGTCGTCTGCCCACGAGAAACCAGGCCATCCCACGTGACGTGACGTGAGGGAAGCAAGGCCTGCTTGCTCGCGTGAGGTGGCGTGCGAGAGTCCCGGCACTCACGGCGTCTGCATGAAGCACGCTCTTCTCTCCTTGTCTGGATTTCTTTTTGAAAGCAGGCAAAAGGTTTACCACGTATATTAATTAAGAAAAAGATTTGCCACGTCTATTAATTAAGAGTTCGATCGTCTTGCGTTACAACACACACCGTTACAACAAGAGTTGCTACTCTCGCGGCATAATTAAGCCCAATTGTTTTGCACCCGCGGACAGCCATAGTGACACCTCCGCCTTAATACTTTGAATAAGGATCATACGAGGAGTGCTCTTGTGTCGAAAAACTCGTGCATTTCTTTCATTCCAAATTATCCAAGAGATGAGCATGGTTGGGGACGGTCTCGTCAGATAAACCTATCCACCACGTCTTAGTGGATTGCAGCAAGTGCAATGCAGAAGTATCAATGTAGTTCAACCGGAGCCAAACTTTGTCTGGATTTTTGGATCTTCCACATGGGAGAACAAGGGCGTGTTTGGTTGCACACAACCATTTTGTCATCTTTGCATATGTGGCCTTTTAATTTCATAGACCATGGCAAATTGCTATGAATTGTAGATCGATTGCCATGTCAATGTACTATGTTCTTTCAGAATTTGTCATCAATTAGAGAATAAATTTGTAAATTTGTCATGACATAAAATTTTCTACATTTGCCATGAGCTAGACCATGGCAAATTTATTTTCGTAGCCATGGCAACTTAGGTTTTCCTTGGACCGTAGCAAATTTATTTTCAGTGCCATGGAAAATTTATTTTAGTTTCTTCCTGGACAATGGCAAATTTTATTTATTTCCTAAGCCGTGCCAAATTTATTTTCATAGACATGGCAAATTTATTTTCAGAATCATGTCAATTTAGTTTTTCCTGGGCCCCAAGACAAATATTTCCAGTGCCATGGCAATTTATTTTTCAGAACATCTTTGCATATGTTTGCAGTATTTTATCTTAACCATGGCAAATGTTGATGCATTACATGGCACTTTTATTGTTTCTACCGTGTCAAGTTTATTTTCAATGCATGTGATTTGTATGTTATGACAAAGAAATATAGATCATGTCATTTTTATTATAAGACCATGGTGAAATTCCTGTAGGTCTTTTTATTATTCAGTATGCAAATTTGCCATGTACTTGCAAATTTTGATGCCATGGCAAATTAAATTTCAGTTCAGAGCTATGGCAAATTACTTTCTTGGACAGGCAACTTTTCACATAGAATTACATACAATATATGTATTATTTTGAATCGCCGACTACATGGTATTTTTATTATAAAACGGATGCCAGATTTTTATGTTTTTATTTAATTAAGTTTTTAGGGTTTTATTTAATTAAGTCGGATGCAACTATTTTAGCTTTTTTAAGGCCTGTTTTTTGTGGTACTAAAGTTGGGCCGTTTTTGGGTCCAATTCTTATCACGTGTTGTTTTTAATAGCGTCAAAGATATGTCTCAAAAAAAAAATAGCGTCAAAGATTTTGAGGTCAAGGGGGTTGTGCTGGGCCCGATTCCTATAGGGCGGCTTCAGTACCGGTTAAAGGCAACGAAACAAACTGGCGCACAGCCCCTTGCTTCCTGGGCTCGGCCCATTTTCATTTTTTTTAACCTTAAAAAATATTGCGGGTGGTGAGATTGGAACTCTGACCCTCAGTGTTTACTTCCAGATGTGGTAACCGACTCGGACGGCACAAATGAGCCTACTAAAACTTCTTCAACTTCTTATTTCATGCCTTTCGGACATTTTTTGGGTCTTTGTTTGACCGGTTTTTCATAGGTTTTTACTCAGGATTTTTTTTAAATACATGATTTTTTTAATATGAAGCTTTATCAAATTCAATGAACTTTTTCTCAAATCTATTAACTTTTTTTAAAAACAGGTGAACTTTTTCCAAATTCGTGAACT